AAAGTAGTTGAGGACGGCTCAAAGCCTTGGGACCCCTGCACCCGCGTGGGAGACCTGGAGGAAACTCCTGACTCCTGGTCCTGGCTTCGTATTGGCCTTTGAGGTCATTCTAGGAGTGAATCAGAGGACGGAAAATCTTCCTCTCTGTTTCTCCTCCTCTCTGTATACCTACTTTTAGATAAAAAATAATAATAATAATAATAAATTAATCTTAAAAAAAAAAGCTCTCAGAGTAAGATAGACCTGGAGGGCAGGGGTTGGGCACACAGTGAAGGCACTTGCATCCCGCATCAAAGCACCTGGGCTCCACCCCCAAATCCAGCTTTCTAATATATACCCTGGGAGGCAACAGCTGATGGTTCAAGTAGCAGGTGCCTGTCAACCACGCAGGAATGCTGAACTGAGTCCCCAGCTCCAGCTTTTCAGTTCCCCCAGCCCTGGCTATTGTGAGCATCTGGGGAGTGAAACAATGCATGGAAGCTAGAAGGGAAAACAACTGAGGCTACAACTGGAAACAACTGGGACCACAAAATACTAAAAGCTGCGTTTAGGACCACATTACAGATGCTGAAACACAGAAAAGTAGGCCTGAGGCCCAGACAGGGCACAGGGTTTGTCAAAGGTCACTAGCAGTTAGAAATAGGTGGAATGGCAGGCAAGCAAGGAGAACGAGGCAAATAGGAGTGGGAGCCCGACTCACGGCAGAGGTGCTGAGCTGTATCCAAGGGACAGGCAGCTGGGTAAGGGAACCGTCAGCTGACATCACCCCATTTCCCATGCCCAGCAGGTCCTATTGTTTGCTTCTCTTTGAAACTGCTCCCTCTAGGTTCCTGAGTTTGCAATAGTTTCCCAGAAACACTAAGTAAATATCCTTGTTGTTTGCTGAGTAACTAGCCCCATAGATCAGAAAAGGGGACTCATGCAAACTGTGCCCCAAGCCTGGCTCTTTTATAGTTGTTCAGTTCCTCTTAGCACCACCCCCAGGCTCTCCATGAAAGATCATGCATCAGGACTCTGGATGTGATGACTCAGAGCTTGGAAGGCAACCTGCTTCTCCCCACCACCCCAGAAAAGCAGGCAGTGGATTGGGTACCTTACTCCCCAGCAAGAGAGTCAGGCATAAGCTGTTATGTCCAGTATGTAAGAAGTTAGGCAACATCCTTGGCTGATGTTAACCCAAACCATGGACAGGTTGCAGCTGCTGGGCCTGCCTCCTATTCTAGCTGATGAGTTTTTTCTTGTACATTGTTGTATAGTTTCACTCTCACAGTCCTTATTATTGAAAGTTGTGTCCCTGTCCTCACTACCCAATCAACAAGGAGAGGTTGGAGAATAAAGACAAAAGAAAGTTTAGTCTGTCAACAAATGAGAACACGGAGCCTGGGGATGACGCTTGCCGTAAAAGCCCCACCTGCCTCCCCACTGCCCTGCATCCTTGGGGATCAGGCTGTCTTGTGTCAGGCTCATTCCCCTGAAGCACCTGTGTCCCAGGCTGACTGCCCACCCCCCAGAGTTTGCCTGAGAATTCACTCGCTCCTCTCCACGAGGGAGTTCCCCCGGCTCAAACACCAACTTGAATTGGCTTCCAATCCAAGGAGACTCTAGCTTGGTGATCTGGAATTCCATGTTGCCACCACCCTGGATTTCAAACATTCTAAAATACGGCTTTCATCATGCCAGGCTTCTAAGATTTCACACCTGTGGACTATGAATCTATATTTTCTGAATTTAGTTACTGTGTTAATGAAGGCTGTCGTTGACACAGTAACATGGTCAGCTTTCACCTGGCCGAGGTTTTCATGTCTGTTTTTCAGAAGATCTAAGGCTTAGCCTAGGGTTGGCTGAGGTGGGCACTGGGGATAGCAGAGGGCTTCCCACCTCTTCCAGGGATGTAGGGAGTAGGACAGCACCCAGAATAATCAGTCCTAGGTTTGGCCTCTCGGTCCCCCACTTCCCCACCAGCTTCTGTTTTTGAATATCTGGTGGGTAGAGGGATGGCAAGGAAAGCTCAGTCCTTTGCAGTCCTTGCATCAGCGTCCTGAGGTGTAGGAGACATTGGCCAGTTGGAATGGACAGCAGGGGTGGGTGGATTAAGCACAGGGCAAAAAGCCATACAAGCAGCCATGGGGAAATTCCCAAGCCCTGTGTTATGCCCTGGAGGTGAAAGAGGAACAGAGGCAGGGAAATGGGAGTGTGGGGTTGGAGCTGGGCTTCGGGCCATTGACCCATTAGTGACAGGGGACCTCCAGCAGGGAGCCCCTCCCCACTGCCTCTGTGTTTTCTGCAGGCTGAGTCAGACTCCCAGGAAAACCCGGAGGGCAGGAATGGGAGGTGGGAAATCTGATCGTGTACAGGAGACCCACTGAGGCCAGCCGGGACCAGGGCTCTGGGCTCCCGCCTGCAGCCCAGAGCTATGGTTCCCACCAGTACCTCCGCTGCTACCCTGACTCCACAAGGTCCCAGAATTATAAAATCTTCTCCCACTGGTGGAAACTCAGGGCCAAGAGAACAGGCCCGCCCCAGGCCACCTCCTGGGAGCAGTCTGGACCTCTCCTCCATGCCCAAAGCACGTGGCTAAAGCTGCCAAACTCGATTTTCCAGTGGCTGCCCTAGGCTGGCTGGAGCAGGAACCGCTTCTCCTGGCATGGGTACCTCAGGCCACAGGCCTCCCTCCCCCTTACCTTCTGATGGTTTGGCCTGGCCAGCCCCAGCCACAAGTGTGTCAGCTATGGCTTCCTCACACACCTCCCTGGCATCCCTGCAGCACGACTCCCCAGCACTGTTCCTTTGTGGGCCTCTGTTTTCTCATCTGTAAATGGGGAACAGAGGCCTGTCTCCAAAGGGATACACTACCAAGGGGTTCCAAAGGACGCAAGTCTGTCTGTGGTATGAGAGGTGTGGTGTGCCAGGGGCAGGCTGCAGAGGAAGACACATGCTCTCTCTGGTTTCCCATGGGAGGTAGCAGAGCAAAGGAAAAAACAGAAAAATAGCATCCTTTGTTATACACCCATGTCACCAGGCTCTTAGCTTATGCCACAGCTTCACAGGATGCCATGTGCTGTCTCCTGCCTAGAAGAACTCCCCTTGTCTTGCTCAAGGCTTTACCCCCAAGAATGCGATGCCCACCTTGCACATAAAGTGGAGGCACCTTGGGGCCTGAAACCAGCCAGGTCACCTCCCCTAACTCCAGCTTGTGCTCCAGGCTGACAGGCTCCCAGAGTGGGAGCCTGGTGTCCTTGGCCTCCAGGGAACTCTAGTGGGATGGGAGGGGCCTCCTAAATAGAGGAGGCAGGTGCCCCTTGGCTGCTGCTGCCTCTGGGAGTCTGGAAGTGGAGGAAAACAGGGAACCTGAAAGAGGAGGGGTAGTGGAGGAGCTATCACTGCAGATGGAGCTAAAAATAGCCAGAAGAGATGATGTCATCAGGTTCCCACAGCATAGCACCCCCCCTCTTACACACACACAAGCATGGGCGTGCATGCATGCACACCCACACACTCACACACAGGGGAGGGAGGCTCCTGGGTCCCAGGGCCACAGGACAGGGAAGTCCGGTGAGTGTATCTGCTAACCTGAGTTTCTTGAGTGTGTCTGCATGTGTGTCTGTGTGTTTGTGTGTGGAAGCATGCTTATTTTGGTGTGTGCGTGTTGATATGCAGGCAAGTGTTTATGTCATTACAATTCACTTTTTCTTTATATGCCTGAATTTCCTTGAGGACTGTGTCATGTGTCTTGCTATGTATGTGCCCCCTTGTAGGCTTTGGGCACTGGCCCAGTCCCCTGTGCCCCTTGTAGGCTTTGGGCACTGGCCCAGTCCCCTTCCAACTTGGATCAATGTTCATCAACCCCTCAGCCTACTCCGAGGAGCCTCGCGCTGCCCAAGCTGGCTTGTCAGAGAACCCTCTGGTGCTCCCCTCTGCTCAGATTGCCAGTCTCTGGCAAACTTGGCCGTGGATGGAGATAAAAGCATTTCATGACCCTACCAAGCCTCAAAGGGTTCGAGCTAGGCTTCCTGAACCCCAAGGGGTCTCAGTGTTCCCTCCCACACCCACTCCTCAGAGAAGGCTGCTCTGGAACTGGAGCCAAAACTGAAGACATAGGGATCCACTAAAGACCCTCACTAACGATCCCAGCCCCTAAGGCACAACCCCCATGGAGACACACCTGATAAAAACCCAGTCACCTCCAGGGACAGTCACATGGATGCATAGTCAGAAATCCAAATGGAAAATCCCCAGGCCAGAGAGCTTAGCACCCTCCCCCATTCCAGGCTCAAACTCAGCCTCGCCCCACCCCCAAGAGGCCCAGCTCAGCTGCCAGTCCTGGGAGAAACACTGGCCTCAGAGAATAGCTGGGGGCTGACAGCGGGGTACCCTTCTTCTCCTCTTCCCACCGTCCTCCCCTCCACATTGTCCCCATCCCCCTCCTGACCTGCATTGCTTGGAGCAGAGCTGCTGCCTTCCCTGGCACATCCGCGTCCTCACACACGCGCTCCTTGACACGGCAGCCAGCCACGCAAGCACACTGATCCCAGAGGCATGCTCAGGCACGGATGTGCATATACTGCTCCCCGTTGTTCTGGTTGCACACACACACACACACACACACACACACACACACACACCAACACCAACACACTGACCACCATCACAGGCACATGCAAGCACAGAAACTGTAGTCTCCAGCCCCCAAGAGTTCCATCTTTCATCTCTTTTCTTTCCAAAGTGTGCCTCTCTGTGCCACAGGAGCCCGCTTCTCCCTATGCAGGTGGCAGGGCAAAATTGGGAGGCCCTTACCTCCCAGGAAGATCAAGAGCTGAGACAGGAGTGTGTGTGTGTGTGTGCCCGCGCGCGCTGTTGCCCTTGCCCTATCCTTGTGTCATGTTATCACTGTCCCTGGAGCTTGCCCCCGCCACTACCCCCACACACACCAGCATCCAGCTCCAGCCATCTCCTTCTCAGCCCAGCAGGCAGCAAACATCTCACAGCAGGGAGGAAGGCACTTTGAGCAGAATGATTGTATTTGGGGTTCACCACCTCCACAGCCCCCCTCGAAGACAGGTCCAGAGAGAGCCAAACTTCTGGGTCAGCTTCTGGGCTTTTCTAGAGGATCAGAAAGCCCCCCGGTTGACAGAGGTACCTGAGAACTGAGGAGAGGAAGGGGAGGACGGCGTGTGAGGCTGGCAGCTGCCCCTCCATGGCCCTGCCTCCCCACCTCTCAACCTGCAGCCGTTCAGCCTCTCTGCAGGCCAGAGCACCTGGCATTTTCAGCATCCTGCCATACCTTTTGGGGTGGCATTTGGCAGTCTGTCCCTTAAGAGTTCCTGACAAGGATCAGGTAGAGAAAATTTTCTGTGGCCCTACTTCTCACCCTCCTGCCCCCCACCCTCTCCACTCCAGGCTCATGGGGCCCCCTCCCTGCAGCTCTGGCTAACCTTGTGGTGGGAGGATCCACACGCTGGTGGTGGCAGTATGTGTGGTGTTGACATCTGTGGACACAGTGTTGAGACTGGTGGCAGCCGAGCTTTGAAATTTCTGCCGGTACCTTCTCCGGCTACACTTGAACATCCTGGGAAACCGGGGCCGGGGCCAGCCCATGCCTGGCCTGCGGTAAGGGAAACTCAGGCCCCGGGGCCTGGGGGCCCGTGCCAGCTGAGAGGGCCCCATGGGTGCAGGGAGCTTCTGAGAGGTGTCTGAGAGGTGGGGTGCCACTGCCCAGGGCAACTGGAGCCTCTATGACATAGGGTGTCTTCCAGAGGATGATGCTCTTTAGAGCAGGTCCTGACTCTCCACCCCTCCCTCCCCCCAGTGGGTCTGCCTCTCCCACAGTCCTGCCCATCGGGGCCAGGACAATATCATCTCTGGGGGCAGGGTGGAAATCAGCCCTCACTTTCTTTAAAGATTTATTTATTTATTTGGAAATCAGATTTACAAAGAAACAGAGAGGGAAAGATCTTCCATCTGCCAGTCCACTTCCTAAATGGTTGCAATAGCCAAAACTGAGCTGATCTGAAGCCAGGAGCTTCTTCCAGCTCTCCCATATAAGTACAGGGTCCCAAGGACTTGGGCCATTTTCTGCTGCTTTCCCAGGCCATATGTATGAAACTGGATTAGAAGTGGAGCATCCAGGGCGTGGTGCCGTGGCCTTGCGGCTAAAGTCCTCACCTTGAACGCACTGGGATCCCATATGGGTGCTGGTTCTAATCCTGGCAGTTCCAGTTCCCATCCAGCTCCCTGTTTGTGGCCTGGGAAAGTAGTCGAAGACAGCCCAAAGCTTTGGGATCCTGCACCCGCGTGGGATACCCGAAAGAAACTTCTGGCTTTGGATTGGCACAGCACCGGCTGTCGCAGTCACTTGGGGAGTGAATCATCAGACGGAAGATCTTCCTCTCTGCATTATCTGACTTTGTAAAAAGAATAAATAAATCCTAGAAAAAGAAGAAGAAGAAAGAAGAAGAAGAAGAAGAGGAGGCGCAAGAGCATCCAGGGCATGAACTGACTCCCATATGAGATACTAACGCCGTAGGGTGGAGGAGTGGGCTGTTGAGCAATAGTGCTAACACCCTAGCTCCTCACTTTCTTACTCATCTACAGTAACAATAGTAACAGTGTTTACTGAGCACTGACTTTGTGCTGGCTTCTGCTGAGCACTTTGTACACCTTATCACACCCAATCTCACAATCGACCTGCTGGGAAAACCCCGAATATCCCCATTTCTACACAGCCAAGTTCCATCATTCCCAGTGATTACATTCTCTAAGGCCACCATAAGCACCAAATGCAAACACAGAGCCACTACTCTTACTGAGAATAAAAAAAAAAAAAAAAACACGAAAATTAACAAATATAGTTAGGTTCCTGTGGTAATTCGGTCACCACTCTTGGTTACCCGATCCATACACACCCTGGTTTTATGTGTGCAGAGGCATCATATTGTTAAGTCTCTGAGACTGAACTCATTCCCAATAGCACTTAACTAGTGCCTGAATAAAATTTATGTGACACACGTGTTTTCTTTGTCAAGCATGTCACAGCCCTGGGGTGTGGACAGACACCAGATGATGAGTCAGAATCATAACTGGGAAGCTATTTAAGACAGCAAAATCACCAACAAAGACCACCCAATGTGTGAGAGAATGTGGCACATCATAGTCTGGCAAGAGTACAGTTGTTTACCCTAAGAAAGCTGGAACAGAAAGGCAGGAAGTGCTGTTGTGTGTGGAACTGTGTGGGTATATGTTGGTGCGAGGGGTGAGGGGAGTCAACTTTTTCACCCCTGTGGATGAATGACTGAAAACTGCCTTCAGCATGCATGTGGGTATTATTCAGGTGAATGCAAATATGGAATCCACTAGAAACTGTAAAGGGAATGGAGGCTCCGTAAGGTGGAGTCAGACAATCAGAGCCAGGCAGGGGTTCAAATCCATGATGACCGAGGTCCAAAGCCCAGAGCTTTCAACTCTTGCTATTCTGCACTTGTTCATTCCTTCATTCAGGAAATGTTAACAATTTCACGTGTGCTGGGCACTAAGGACATAGATGACTCTGACCTGGGTCCCAATTCTTCCTGAAATAAGAGAAAACCAAAAGGTGGGAACCCTGGCTTTGTCTCCTCTCTGGCAGGAGGGAAGCGAGAGCTTTGCGTGGTAGGGCACTGAGTTGTGAGATTTTGGACTTGCAACTTCACATCCACACCTCAGCCCCCTCTCTTTTCCCTTCTTGTAGCCCCTCCAATCTTAATCTTGGTCCTGATGGTCTGTCTGCTCCTGCAGGAGTCAGCAACGATGTTATAAGGCCCTTGGCACCACCCTCGCTGGCCTCACCCTCTCCACACACATTTTAATCTCAACTGTCACTCTGGTCTTAGAAAGACTATGACCTTGCACCCATCCACCTTTAGCCACCATACCCATAAGCCTACCTGCCCCTCCTTACCATCAAGCCCCAGACCAAAGCCTCCTTAGCTTCTTCTTATAAGAGTCAGCCCCACCTGCTTCCTTATATAGTAGTGACAGTGTGCTTAGTGGTTAAGACCTGGTCTCTGCTACCAGGTTGACTAGCATTCAATCCTGACTTGAACTCTTAAGATGCTGTGTGATTACAGTGAGTACTTAACCTTTCTGTGCCTCTAGTTCCACATGTCTGAAATGGAGTAAAAGAAATGTACCTCTTAGAATTGTTGTGAAAGAGGAAAAAATGATATACATAACTCTCTCTTGTTTCTTCAGCCTCCTCAAAAACAAAACAAATTTAAAAATCCAGTTGGTTGAGACTGATCTTGTGGCATAGTGAGAAAATGTTCTCACCTGTTAAGCAGACATCCCATATGGATGCTGGTTCTAGTCCCAGCTGCTCCATTTCCAATCCAGCTTCCTGCTAATGCAGAAAATGCAGCAGATGATGATCCAAACACTTGAGCCTTGGCCACCCACAGAGCAGAACTGATTGTTCTGGCCACTTGTAGAATGAACCAGCAGATGAAAGATCCTCCTCTGATTTTTCAAATAAATAAATCTTTAGAAGAAGGAAACCCAGAGGCCTGGCGCAATGGTTCAATGGCTAAACCCTTACCTTGTAAGCACCGGGAATCAATGTGGGCACCAGTTCATGTCCTGGGTGCTCCACTTCCCATCCAGCTTCCTGCTTGTGGCCTGGGAAAGCCGTAGAGGATGGCCCAAAGCCTTGAGAAACCAGCACCTTTGTGGGCAATCCAGAAGATGTTCCTGGCTGCTGGCTTCAGATTGACTGAGCTCTGGATGTAGCTATTTGGGGAGTGAGCCAGCAGATGGAAGATCTTTCACTCTGGGTCTCCTACTCTATAAATCTTATCTGTCTTTCCAAAAAAAAATTTTTTTTAACTTTTTTTTTTTTCAAAAATGATATCAGTAGGAAAAACCTTGGAAGAAGATAGTTGGGCCTGGCATGATGGCTCAATGGCTAAATCCTTGCCTTGCATGCGCTGGGATCACATATGGGTGCTGGTTCATGTCCTGGCTGCTCCACTTCCCATACAGCTCCCTGCTTGTGGTCTGCTGAGGAAAACAGTAGAGGATGACCCAAAGCTTTGGGACCCTGCACTCATGTGGGAGACCCAGAAGAAGCCCCTGGCTCCTGACTTTGGATTGACTCAGCTCTGGCCATTGCGGTCACTTGGGGAGTGAACCAGAGCAGATGGAAGATCTTTTTCTCTATCTCTCCTCCTCTTTGTAAATCTGCCTTTCCAATAAAAATAAAATAATTTTTTTAAAAGAGACAGTATCTTTTTTTTTTAAAGATGATGATAATGATAATGATTGGAAAGTCAGATTCACAGAAAAAGAGAGACAGAGAGGAAAATCCTCCGTCTGTTGATTCACTCCCCAAGTGGCCGCAATGGCCAGAGCTGAGCTGATCCGGAGGAAGGAGCCGGGAGCTTCTTCTGGATCTCTGGCGCAGGCCATCCTTGACTTCTTTCCCAAGACACAAACAGGGAGCTGGATGGGAAGTGTAGCCGCCGGAACACGTACTGGCATCTATATGGGATCCCAGCACATGCTAGGCTGCTGCACAGGGCCCTAAGAAGCAATAACTTATTAAAAAAATGCTCATTCCCCTTGTAACACACCATAACTATTGTGTTTTAAAGAATTCACTTCTTTCATCTCCCAACCTCTGGCTGAGATGCTCTCTTCTCTGGCCTCTACCTGTCTTCATCCTCTTACATCGCGAAGCAGCCCATAACCATTCTGCTTTACAGACAGCTAAGGACAGAGCTAGAATTCAAGCCTGTGGCCCGAGTGACTTGAAATCTGACACTTTCCCAGCATCCGTCTGCATCAAGTACTAGAGTGGAAACTGGCCCCAGCAGTCCTGTAAAGGCAGTGACCCCTTTGTGCGACCATGATGCCACCTGGTGGCTGGAAACAAAGGGGTATTCACAGGGAGCAAAGGAAAGACTGCAGAGGGGATAAAGAGAAAAAGCAAGAGGAGAGGGAAGGAAACATGGTGAGGAAAACAATGAGGAGTATGGTGTTCATGGGAAAGAATGGGACCAGAACATCTTCCACTAAGCAGAAGCTACCAGAACTCAATGATTTCCTTCAAGGTGTGTGTGTGTGTGTGTGTGTGTGTGTGTGTGTGTGTGTGTGTGCATGTGTGTACCCATGTGAATTCAGGAGCACTAGCAGGTGTGCATGTATGCATCTGTGTTTACACTGTGGGAACACATGGTGCTTCCCGGACAGCCATGGTAACACGGCAGGTGCGCCAGTATGCAGATGCAGGGAAGGAAGCTGGTGTGCACCTGAGGTCAGCACACGGAAGCCCTGGGGACACTTATCCAGTCCTCAGACTTCATAAAATTAGTAGGGGCGTTGCCTTGGCAGGTGCAGCAGGTGTTGCCCAGTATGGCCGGAGGCTGTTGTGGTTGTGGGGCTCAATCTCCAGGCAGCAGGGGGCAGCAGGGATAAGGGGAGGCTGACCTCCCACAGGTGGGGCCATTGGGCGGGTGGCAGGCAGAAGGCGGCCTTAAAAACTCCTGCCCCGCCCGCAGGTGAGCAGTGGTGTGTGAGAGCAGCCAGGCCCTCTACCTGCCACTCGGGGCAGCCCCTGGAGCCAGCTGTGCGGGTCCTCCTGAAGCCTCTGCAGATCGTCTCAGAATTCACTGCTGAAAGCCCAGAACAGGTGCTGCATAGGATAAAGGATCCTCTGAAGGAAGCCCCATCTGGAAACAGGTTTTGGGGAGCTGGAAGGGTGGTGGTGGGGGGGAATCCTCGAAGAATTTGGAAGATGGACCCTCAGATACACAGGTGCCAGAAGGGACCCAGAGTGACTAGCAATGTAATTTGGACTTTGGGGGTGCAGTGGAAGCACCTGGGGTGCTGAGGTCTCTGGGTATCAGGTATTGGTAGAGGGTTTGGGTAGTGGAGAGGAGTAGGGATGTTGCCATGGCAACCAGGGACCACCCCAGGGTGACAGAGTCCAGATGTAGGATGCAGCAGGGTCTTGTGGGATGTGGGTCCAGGATGCCAGAATCGGGGTGTGCCAGGGTACAGAAGCTAAGGCTAGTCCTGAAGAAGCAAGAGGGAGAACAGTGATGGCAGGGCCCTGCCTCACATGCTGTCTGCTTCACAGGAGCCACCATGAAGTGCTTCAGCTTCATTAAAACCATCATGATCATCTTCAACTTGCTCATTTTTGTAAGTACGCAGGAGTTGCTCACAATGGGAGCAGAACCTGGGAGATGGGACAGAACCCTACAAGCTTTCTTCTTTAGAGTAAGATGCAAAGTGCACCCCAAATGCTAAATTCTAGTGCCTGGCGCAGCAGGCTGCCACTCAGGACTGCAAGTATAAGGAAGGTGGGTAGAGGAGCTCTGGGCACCCCACCACCACCACCACCAGTGAGTGTCAGCTCAGGCTTAGGGCAGGACAAGGACTGCTCACAGAAGTGAGTCTCCCTTTCCACACAGGCGAGTCTCCCTTTGGCCAGAGAAGGCCCAGAACTTGCCTAGGTTCCCTGAGCGCAGGAAATCCAGTGGCTTCTATGGGAGGGGCATCTGAGAAAGCCCATCGGAGCAAGGGGTCTGCTTCAAGCAGCGCTTATTTGCTCAACAGACATTCCTGGGCTAAGACATGGGGATGCTAGGGTGGCAGATGAGCTACCCCCTTCTCTGTCAGTCAGCCAGGCAAAGGACAAGACTGACTGAATGTCCAGATCTAGCTCAGACGTGAAGGGAGCCCAGAAGAGGGACTTTAACGCCACCTAGTTGGAGCTTACTTCCTGGAGGAAATAGCTGAAGCCAAGAATTTGCACTGGGTGGGGGAGTTGTAAAACATGCATAAACACCCCAGGGTAATGAAACCTGATATTGTTCCGGAAAACCAGGAACAGATTGTATTGGACCTGTTGGAGAAGCTGAGCAATGAGGCGTAACCCCTGGAGATGGTGGCAGAGATAAGGAGAAGTGGACCAAGTGGACAAGCCAAAGCCCTGGGACAGTGGCTGAGGGACAACAGAAAGCAGTCTTGGAGATAATATTCAGATTTCTGACATGAGCAATATGAGGGGACAGGAAGGGGATATACCACCAAGAGCTATGAACCTCCTGGAAACACAGCTCATATTAAACCCAGCCAGGGTTGTTGGAAAGTTGGGCCTCTGCAGATGGTCCACAAAGCCAGGGAGTGGACAGATGCACTTGCTGGGGGAAAGTGAACTCTAGGAAATAGCCATCATTGGCGATAAGCAGAGAAATAGTCACCATGAAAGAGGCAGAGGAGGAAAAGCAAGAAGAAAGGGAAAACAAGAGTGAGAGCAGAGAGGAGGAGAAGGATAAGGCCTGTGAAATGTCCCCTACCCGTAGCCTGGGATGTCACAGGGAGCCAGGAGCCACGTGAGAGTGGCTCGAGGGGTGAGAGGTGGAGAAAGTAGAGATGGGGTATAGATCGGTTTGGAGGAAGTGGGCTGAGGGTGGTGCACCTAGTTTTAAGGTGATCTGTGCTTTAAGCTCTGTTTGGCTGCTGGGAACTGGTTTTCATTCCTGTATGTGATTCCAGGGATTTGGAGAGCAGGGCAAGTGGACCGAGGGAGTTAAAGGCAAATCTGTTTCGGTTTCTGTCCTCTGTTGTTCAGGTTTGGCCAGGTTGGAGCTGAGCAGGCTTTAGGCTCCTTGAAATCTGACCCTGTGGGCGACAAACCCAACGTTTTTTCCTTTGAGCAAATACGCCTCAGCCTCACCGCTGCATGCGGACTCAGTCAGGACATGCCACCTGACTCCTCGTTCCAGCCTCAGTTTCCAGAGCTGCAAACTGGGAACAGGGTGCCATCAGGCTGACCCACCCAGCAAAACCTGGGGTTAGCAAGGTGCTGCTCTGAGAGCCATGGGAACTGGGCAGGGGCCTCCTCAGTCCTGGCCTCTTAGCACCTGGGGCAAGTCAGAAACTATGATGAGGGCAGTTCTGGCTGGTACTCCCATTCTAGTGCCTCAGCTCCCACTTGTGAGGCAAGGAGGCAGGATGAGGAACTGCCTGGCTTCTAATTCCCCAGGGTAGTTAACGAAATGGGGCCTAAGGATGGGTGAAACTTGAAGGTGTAGACTTCAGCCCCGCCTCTGTTACTATGGTGACTGCTGAGCCTGCTGCTACCACCCTGTCTCCACCTATCAGAAAGAGGTGTTCCAGGCAAACACAGCCCAGGAAGCCAAAGGAGCCTTCTGTGACCCCCTAGCTCTGCAGCGGGTCCGCAGCAACCCCTGATCACACTTATATCTGGGCTGAGGTGTGCAGCCTGAACCTGGCTGCAGGGTCCCAGCTCCAACATTGCTGACTCACTCCAGCGGATGAGCTTTCAGACTCCATGGGTACTTAAGGGGCAAGTTGTCTCAGTTTCCACCCCCCTGGCTCAGCTCTGTAAGAAGTGACTTGCTAGCCCTGTTTCAAGGCTTCCCCAAACACTCTGTCCCCAGATATGTGGTGCCACCCTGCTAGCTGTGGGCATCTGGGTATCTGTCGACGGGGGCTCCTTCCTGAAGATCTTCAGGTCGCTGTCGGAGGATTTCACACAGTTGGCCAACGTGGGCTACTTCCTCATCGCAGCTGGTGCTGTGCTGCTCGTCCTTGGTTTCCTGGGCTGCTACGGTGCTCACAAGGAGAGCAAGTGTGCTCTTATAATGGTATATCAGATCCAACTCCACAGACCCACAACCAAAGGGGCTCCTCACCCCGGGGACACCGGACCTTCAGGGATCTCACCAAAGGGCGGGCCCCCTGACCTCATGTCGATGGGGTGGGTTAGGGCAAGAAGGTCCTGGGGGGCTGTCCCTAAAACTCAGACTCCTGTTGTATACTCAGTTCTTCATCATCCTGCTTGTCATCTTCATTGCTGAGATTGCAGCTGCTGTGGTCGTCTTGGTATACACGAATTTGGTGAGGCACTGGGATGGGGCCAGGGAAGATAGTGGGAGGCCCTGGAAGTGGGCTCTGGCCTGCAGAAGGCCACCTTCTGCACAGTTGCTAAACACTGGCCTGCCCCCTTCTCCCCCACAGGCTGACAAACTCCTGTCAACAGTGGTAGTGCCTGCCATGGTAGACTATGGCTCCCAGCAGGACTTCACCCAAGTGTGGAACAGTACCATGAAAGGGGTAAGGCGGGTTGAAGGAACATTTTGGGAGGGTGGAGAGAAAGAAGCAAGGCCCTATTGACCTCCCTTAACCTTGTCTCCAGCTCAAGTGTTGTGGCTTCAACAACTACACGGATTTCAGCAACTCATCCTACTATCATAGCTATGGTGTGTATCCCCCATTCTGCTGCTTCAACAAGACAAATGAAACAGAGGACACACCTTGCACTGAAGAGAAGGCAAAGGAACTGGACATAGAGGTATGGGCTGCTGTGGGAAGCTGGGGACTACTTGAACAGCTCCTATGTGGCAGGTGGGAGGTAGGGTAGCTGCCAACTGCAAATGCCCCCTTCTCTCCCTCAAGGGCTGCTTCAAACAACTTCTGGATGAGATCCAAACCAATTCAGTTGCTGTGGGCGGTGTGGCAATCGGAATTGCAGCCCTGGAGGTAAGTGGCTGAGGCGGCTAGGGTGTCACCAGTGGGTCTGGACTGCTGGACCCACAGTTGAGGTCTCGCTAGGGTAGGCCAACTTCCAGCAGCACTTCTTGCAGAATGGTTGAGAGGCAGGGGACCAATGCTGACGGATCCCAGTCACATGCCCTCATTTCTCTGTGCTCTTTCCCCACCAGTTGGCTGCCATGATTGTGTCCCTGTATCTATACTGCAATATAAACTAAAGCCTGCTCTACTTCCGCCACTGCTGTGCCATGGAGAACACAAAAAAAGGCATCCTGGCCCTGCCAAGTGACTGTCATCAGGGTGCAAACAGAATCTTGCGGAGTCACTCGGCCCGGAATGGGCCTGCCCTTGCTGCTTTGGGCTTGGAGCTAAGTAAGGCCCATCCCTTCTAGGCTCAGCCTGACTCTTCCCTCCCTAGGCGGGGTTAGGCCTAGGTGTTCCAGGCCATCTAAGGCAGCCAATTCTTCCCCTTCCCCGTCCTTTGGCCAAGGAGGGCTCTTGGTGATCCTGGTGCTCTTCTAGGGAATGAAAAGAAGGTACCTGGTGGCTGGGGCATCCTGCCAATCAGCAGAGCTATGGGGCGGATGTGGAGAAGGCTCTTCAGAACTCATAAACCCACTAAACCCTTTGCTTTTGTACTCTTCATGTATCCTTGGGGACAGTGGCCCAACTGTGCCTTGTCCTGGACTCAGCTTCTGTGGGGTTGGCCACTCAGACATCTCCCCCAACCCCCAAAAAGACAGCAGAAGAGCATGGAGTGCGGGTGCTTATTTCTTGTATTCATTCAGGCCCCAAGCTTGGGAGGGTGCCTGGAAGGGACAGCCACAAGGGCACTGAAGGAGTCGGGGTTGGGCCGGGCTGCTTCCTCACAATGTGAGGACTTTGGCCTGAAAACCGCCCCCTCCTGGGACAGGGCACTGAACTGGAAAGCTATGAAAATAACTCGCTTGTGCCTGAGTCAGGGAGTGGTAGCCAGAATTAATAGCTGGGCAATAGCAAAAGGTCACTCCTTGGACTCGAGGGAGCCTTCCAGGAGCACCCATCCAGGAGCCAGCCTGCCTGCTCAGCCGCCCCCCAAATCTATCTGCTATGGGGCTCTCAGGTAGACTCTCTGTACTGTCCTGCTTGACCCCCTCCAGACCTGACCTCTCATTAGTGCATATATATATATATGTATATATATATATATGAATGTGAGAGAGGGAGGGAGTGACAGAGAGCACCCATCCATGGTTCATTCCCCAAATACCTGCAATCACTGGAATGGGGCTGGGCTGGGCTGAAGCCCACAGTGGGGAACCACTCCAGGTTTCCTACCACTGACCCTCACACGAAATGAGCCTAAGCAGCAGGAACTAGGACTCAAATCCAGCCATAGGCATCTTAGCTTCTAGGCAAAATGTTCCCTCCCTAAACAATTCTAACCATACCCAAGGTTAGGGGCCTTAGAAACGCCAAGCAGGCCACAGGCCCATAGCCCTTAGGACAGACTTTGGAACCCCAGTGCTTTATGGGTCCTGACGGAGACAAGGAGATGGTGATAGTTCTGTCAGGGCTCCTGGTCAAAACGTCCCTGCCAAGCTAGGGGTGATAACAGTCAGGAGGAAACCATGGCAGAAAGACACACTGTGTGTTAGTGAGCAAAGCCCAGGCTGACAAGCTAACACCAGCCTCTCCACCCACCCCCTTCCTTCCTCTTAAGCTTTCCCAGGACTGCCCAGAACCACCACCCCCTTGCCAGGTCCCACAGCAACCTACCTACCCAGTCACACCGCCCAAGGGCCAGTCTCTAAGGCCTACCAGGGTGCTAGCCCAAGTCACAGAAGTTGGCCCATCCCAACCTTTGCCACCAGCCAGTACCCCACACTCCCCCCTTGCTCCCTAAGCAACTGTGTGGAAGCTACAGGGTATTTGTTAGCTCAGGGCAGGTCTCCACTTCATAGCCTAAATTACTCTGCACCTGGCTGTCCAATGCCACCTTGAACACTATCCCCAGCACTAGCAAACACTGAAGGTGGCAGGTAGTGGTGAATGTGCACAATGAATATTTCTTATGCCATTGCAAAGCTGAGCACTGGGCACCAGGACAGGTGGCAAGGGCAGGGAGCAGGTAGGAGAGTGGGAGTCCCTGTGCCCCAGCCAAGGCTCCCATACACTGAGAAAGGAAGTGGTCTTCGGTTTCTCCACTTCCATAGATCCCTCTGACATGGGTCACTGTGCATGTGAGCTGCCTCTGGACAACCTGGAACCTCCTGTCCAATGAGTAGCTGCCTTTGTGGGAATCTTCTGGGGGGAAAAATGCCCCTTTCTTCAGAAAAATGCCCAGATAGGGAGCTTTCTGTACCCAGAGCCTGGCTAGTCACAGCCATAGCTCCTGGGTGATGCCCATGTGGTCCCGTCTCATCTACTTCCTTGCCACCCACTTCTGCCTTGCTTCTCACCCACTCCCTCCCTAACCCTTTTTGTTTGTTTTGTTTTCTCTAGCTGCGGTCATAGGCACAGGTGCCCAGGCTAGACAAGTACCAGCCTGATGGCTAAACAGAAGGAAAGGGGTGTGGCATGGCTGTTCCAGGCTCAGCCACAGCAAGGCAGGACTAAAACTAGGTTCTCTGGGAGGGAGGAGCCTGGGAAAACCCAGATGTTTGGTATTTGGGCATCCCCTGGTGGTCAACTGGCCAGCCCAAGTGGAAGACAAGCCTTGCAGAAGGGACAATAAGAAAAGCTCACTGTCCAGAGATTACACTCTACTTTCCCTCCCTTACCGCATGTCACATGCATGTGCATACAAGCAACCACAAGACACGAGGCCTGCTGAAGTTTTCTCTTTTTTTAATCAATGACCGCCTTTATCCAGCTTTGGAAATCTGGACAAAGAGGAGGCTGAGAGGAGGCCTGGTCCAGTGTCTGAGGGTCTCTGAGTGAATCAGCCCATGTCAGCCTGTGGGTCCCAGCCGCACATGTCCGTGGGTTGGACCCAGCAGTTTCCTGAGTAAGAGCCAGCCCCACCCTGCAGGGTAGGACACCGGCCCAGGAAGGGATCAAGGCCCTGCAGGTCCCGCCTATCTCCAGGGCCTGCAGGATGGTCAATAAATAGGTTAGATTCTGAGCCAGGCCTGGGGAGAGGGCACTCCAAGGGCAGGAGCAGCTATCCGGGATCCCAGAGCCTCCCAGGCACTCTCCTGGCCTTCTCCAACAAGGAAGCAAATAAATAGACCTCCAACTCAGCAACAGGGGTGTCGATGCAGGAGAACCCTCTCCTCGGGGTTAGTAGTGAAGTCTCTTGTTAAAAACAAACCAGCCCTGGCCCCTACCAGCCTCTACAAAATCCTACAGGATGGGGTGAAGGGCTAGCCTGCCTAGGGGTACATAGTACCCAGCCCCCGTAGGGTCCTAGCCAAGGGGTGTGTCTCATGTTTGTTCTGCAGCTCCTGGGGCTGCCTCCTCCTTTGGGGGTGGCTCCAGGAAAATGGGGGTGACCGATGGCGGTTTCTTCACTCTGGGTACAAAGATAAGAATTATACACAGGGAAGAGGTCATTAGCCAGCTCCCTCCAATCCCATGAGGCACCTCCCCTACCATTTCCCAGGAAAGAAGAATCACTCACGAGTAGGGAGAGGCCGGGACCCCCACCACCAGAAAGTGGTTCTTCTTGCGAAACAATCTCCACAGACCCCGGTGGTTGCCACGCACATCTAGGTCCCAGATATGGAGGCACTGGGGCGGGCGGAGTGAAGGAGACACCGGTTAGAGAGCCAGGGTGAGAAGCTAGGAGCCCAGTAGCTGCTTTCATTTGCAAGAGAAGGTGTTGCCTTTTGGGATACAGATGTGGTTGAGGGGGTTGCAAGAGGGGTTCTGGGATATAGATGTGGACGGGTTGCGGGGGTTGTAAGAGGGATTCTGTGGGTACAGAGAGAAGGTTCTGAGGCTGAGGTTTCCAGAACAAAGGCGCCCCCTATCTGAGGGCAGAGTATGTGAGGGAATAGAGAAGCATGGAGCGGGCACAGAATTGTGGCACCTTGGCAAGCTGGGTCCAGGTAGTGAAGTCATCATCCTTCTCCATTCGGATGAAGGCCACATAGGTGTGCCCCTCTGTGTCAGGCAGGAAAGTATCTTCACACGGATTCTTGCTGTGGTCCAGAACCTCAGCCTCACTGCAAGGGAGGACAAGGCCAAGCCAGGGCCCACTTCAAGGGTGCGTTCCCTGGGTGCTTGCTGGTAGGCTCTGAGATCACTATATGGTCCTCTATGTGGTCCTCTGAACCAGAGTACCCTCAACTTTGATCTCGCGAACTCCAGAGCCAAGAGGACCTCACCTCCCTTCAACCTGACTCGCCAAACCTGGCTACACAGCCCAATCACCCCAAGCCATACCTGAGCAGCCTGTGGATCTCCACTTCATAAGCTTCTTTCTTGAGACTGAAGGGGAGGGAAACATGAGTCAGGTACAGGGCAAACCCCGGTCCCAGGGCTAGCACTGGGAAAGCAAAAGGTCTTGGGGATGGCAGGATGGGGGTGGACACACAGGCCTAGAGTTGGACAGGGTAGCTCCTTAGACCTTCAGAAAGCCCCCTCTTCGCTCTGCTGCCAGCTCCCACCTGTCCACGTTCCTCAGCTGGACACCTGGAACGGTGTTAAACTTGTGCTTCTTGAAGTAGGCTTCCTAGAGTGGGTGTGAGGGTGTGGATTAAGACTTCACAGCATTAAGCTCACGCTGGCTGGCCGACCCACCCACTGAGGCAGCACTGGGCCTGGAAGGGGTGCTATCATTTCCTCCCACCTCCCCATTTCTCTCTGAGGCATCCTCGCCACGCTTGTGCCAGCATGCACCTTGGCTGAGAGCTGGTGTCCACATGGGTGGCTCATGCCACTGACCCATAGCTATCCCTGTTCCCAGTGGTTCTCCCTCGGCCCACTGCACTTTCTAAGCCACAGGAGCTAGAAATGGGTTCCAGCGCACAAAGCGATAGGTCGTGGTACATGAACTGAGGCGACCTGAGGGAAGTACTTCACTCTCTCCTCAACCCTCCTCACCCCCACACCCGCCACCAGATGAATGGGGCTGTTTTATTTGCTTCTGGCTTCCAGGAGGTTTCAACAGGAGCTGTCTATTCTTTTGGGGCTGGGGCAATCTCAAGTCCCCATCCATCGTTGCTATCACCGGGGAAAGGGCCTCTGGACAAAGCCAGGTGGAATGTGGGAGCCTGGGACTCTCTGCTCACGCCAGGCTGAGGCCTAGGCCCAGCCCTTGCAAGGACAAGAGAGGGCAGAGCCTGCAGGATTGGACTGGTACCAGGAACACCCTCTCCACACCCACAGTCTAGGGCTAAGAATAGCAGTAATAAAAATAATGCCAGCTAACCCTTTTAGAATGCTCACAGTTCAAGGCACCTCACACACATCCACTCATCTAAGCTTCCTAAGGAGCTGGGTAGCACTTCAACCTTTATGTTGCAGATAAGGAAACTGAGGCAAAAACGGAATGGGAATTTCCCCAGGGTGACCTGGCCAGGAGGCAGAGATGGGACTGCTCCAGGGCACCTGTGTCAGGCTCTGGCCCCACCCCTCACCTCCCACTCACGTGGAAGTAGCCGTTCATGTTGAGGCCAACGATGCCAAAGTGATAGGATCGGGAAACATCAGGGATGACACATTCCCGGCCCCGGCGCTGCTCAGGCATCCGCATCCACATGTCCCAGTCCCAGAGCTGAGGCCACGGAAGGTCATGAAGGTGAAGACACTGGGAGTAGGCCCGGGGGGCAGGCAGGCATCCCTTCCTACTCTCCACCCTGCTGGGTACCTTCTCTGGTGTGGGCCACTTGGGCTCCAGCTCCTCCTTGTACAAGGATTTCCGGAGCACCCAGCCCAGGCCAGGCATGGTCTCCACGCGGTACAGGAGCGCTGGGTCTTCAGCTGTGTGTTCATACCCCTGGGGTCCAGAGGGCCCAGAGTGGGAGACATTGGCTGGGGGCCTCTGCCACCAACTCCCCCTGCTAATTCCTGGCCACCCAGCCTACCTGGTCATTCCAGGCAGAGATGCAGTACAGGCTCTCATCCTCCTCCAGCAGGTGGATGGACTGGCTCAGGAAACTGAGGAAGGTGGGGACCAAGAGTTCACACCGGGCAAGGCCAAACTCAAGACACACAGGCCGGGTGGGCAGAGCTGGGAGTCACGAGTTGCACCTCCTGCCCTTGAACCCCTCCCATCTCATTCAAACCTCCTGCCTCCTACTGGACACCTGCCAACTTACCTCCTCACCTCTACTCAACCTTCTCCCCCGCAACCCTCCCATCTGAGCTCATTTCCTCCAGAAATTTCTCCAAGACACTTTACTGCCTTCTTCCGCAGAGACCCGGCTAAGCCAGGTTACAGGCAGGAGCCGCAGGCAGGTTACAGGAGCTGCAGCAGGAGGGCCACTCCCTAGCCTCTCACCTGAAAAAATCCACAGCGATGTCCAGGTCCTCTTCCAGAACTACAGCAAACTTGGCCTCCTGCAGGGGGAGGGGACATTAGGATCCCAAGGAGGCGGCCCCTCAACCCTCTCATGGACTCCACGCCACTTCACAGGTATCACCACCCTCATTTTCCAGGTTGGAAGGATGAGGCCAAGAGGGGAAGAACTTCCTAGAAAACAGGTCCAGAGCTTAAGACCACACTTCCCTTCCCAGGCCTGAGAGTCATTCCCCAGAGCACTCACCGGAAACAGGTTGAAAGTGGCAGTGAGGCTGGCCTTGTAGTGCTGGGTGGGGAGTGGGAAGAGGCAGGTGAGTTTGGGGCAGGGCAGAGCAGGGGCGAGAGTCAGGGCTGGGTGGGTGCCACTTCCGCCTCTGCCCAGGCAGTACCTGAGACACACGGGCGTTCTTGATGCTGATGGGAGTGTGCTGGATGCCTCGTAGGCCAAACAATGCCACCACATCCATGGGTTCCTGGGGATATGATAGGGTGGGCATGGTCACTCATCACCCAGCGAGACCTCTCTGGCCCTGCCCACCACAGCCCTGTGCTGGGCTGTGTGCTTGGCTGGTCCTTGGGCAATCGCTGCTGCTCAGCGATGGCAATCCCCATGCTCTGCTTAGCCCGGAGCCCCAGCCTCACTCACCTCATAGTAGCCGTCGATGAACACTGTGATCATCTGTGGGGACACTCCCTGGGCTGAGAGCAGGGAGCGCAGCATCCTAGGGGGCCCAGGGAGGTGTCAGGGCCTCTCCATGCCCCCAGCTCAGGGCTGCCCTGAGGCTGGCTTCCCCATGCTCACCCACACAGATCGATGGGCCTTCCTACCTACCACAAGGGCTCCTCCTGCGTACGGGCACCCTCCCATGCTGTGCTGGCTGCAGCCCATCCTTAGACTTACCTGTACAGGTAATTGGGTCGGTTTCCTGCAATGACAGCCACCGGCACATTGAGGACCTTGTTGTCTGGGAGCTGTGGGAGATACAGCTTTTAGCTTTTGTCTTCTCACCCCTTCAAACTGGGGCCCTATCTGAGGAAAAGGTGGAAAAGGTTCTAGGGCAACGAGTGAGGCAGAACTCTTCTCTGGGCTTCCCACAGAGCCAGCAGCCCCTTCCCCACCTGCCTGGATCTCTCCTAAGGCCCCTTGCTGAGCTAGGATGGAGTCCAAGGCCTCACCCACCGGGTCGGGGCTGAACTCGATGGGGGTGGGGTCCTTGCAGCTGCACACGCTCCCGTAGCCTTCAACTTTGCTGCAGAAGCGCCGGCGGCGGCGGTTCAACTCTGTGTCTGCCCAGTGACACTCTGCTTCTGAGATAGGAAAGGGTGTGAAGCCAGAGTGGTTTGGAAGAGCCTCAGGTACTCACTCAGGAGGATCAAGTCGCATACAGAAGATGCAGGTGCCACTGCCCCAGGGCCCAGCCCCCACTGACCCCACCTTCAGCCGAGCTCAGTGGCACGTCTGTCTTCAGCAGGACTGGGTCCCCCCAGGAGGAGAGGGCAGGTGACTTTGAGTGCTTCTCCCCAAGAACTGGACCTGGCAAGGGCAGAAGGATGAGGACTCATGGAAGCCCAGATGCTGGCTTTGCAGCTTCTCCCCAGCTCTTACCTGCCGGCATCCTACCCACAGTCCCTGGTTCTTGTCGGCCACCCTCTGCCCCAGGTCTTGGCCCTCTGCTCTTCCCAGGAACCTCCATACAACCCAGTGGGCAGCCTATGGTGCTGGCACCTCCTTTTCGTCCCACGAAGGCCCAAGTGTCTCTCCAGCCCAGGGCAGGGCCAGCCTGGCTACCCAGGCTCCTCAGCAGAGCCTTGGCTGTGTCCTTGAGGTGGAAGGAGCCCTCATCCTGGGGGGACCAGAGAAGGGTGGTCAGCTCAACCTGAAGGGGTCCAGGAGCAACCCCAGCGACATGTCAAGCACAATGGAAAACCTTTCAATGAGTTCTTGAAACAATTGCAACAACCCATGACAGTTACTCTGTTTCATGTAAAGAAGCTCAAGTCATTCGGCTGGCTGCTCAACTCCACCAACTCTCCGTCCACAGATCCTCTCGTTTCCCTTTCAAACCCGTCCCCACCACTCTGCCCCACTTGCTTTATTTTGTTCTTCATGTCAACTATAATTTCCTGCCCTCACGCATTTATTTACTTGGCTGGGTTTTTTTTGCCGAACTTGTGCTGCTAGGATATAAGCTCTAAGTTCTAGGTTAGACTCGGTCTTGCTTCTCATTGTATCTGCTGTGCCCAGAGCAGTGCCCAGTACACAGCAGGTGCTCAATAATTGCTTGCTGAATTAGAGAAAAAACTGATGACTTCGGGATTGGAGCCCAAGTCGCCTTCCTCCACAGGTTTTCCCCATGAGCCCACGTTTGGGGTGGAAAATTCAGGGCTGGAGCAGGGTTGGACCTGAGGGGCAAAAGGGGTGTGTAGAAAGGTAGGGGGCCAGGGTCAGCCACTGACCTTGACGGTGCAGATGAGTACTCGGCCGGGCGCCACCATGTTGAGGAACAACACCATGGCCTCATCCTCATGAGGCGAGTACGTGTCGAACACACGCTTTGCCATCACATGGCCCTGGTGGGAGACACACTTCACCAAGTCTGTCCCCAGGAGAGCCTAGCTCCAGTCCCCTGGGTTCCCTTCTCCCCCCATGCCCAGAACCTCACCGTGGCCTGGTTGAGGACGATGACATGGATGCCCCTGCCTTGCTCCCGGGCCTCATCCTCCAGCACCTACCCAGTGGCAGACACAAAGCCAGGCTAGTGAGGCTGGCATCACAGTTGTCTCTGTCTTACAGATGCTTACAAGAGCAGCTGCAGGAAACCTCCCAGCCTGCCTCTGGCCACCCAGCACTACCTTGTCAGAAAAGATCAGACCTTTATGCAGCCCTCCTCTCCTCGGCCTTGCTCACTGCCACGGCTCAGAGCTCTGCACTGTCTCTGTCCCACCCTGGAGCTATTGCTGTCCCCACCCACTCCCCCACATCAGACACTGCCCTGCAAAGGAGGACCAGGCCTGACAACTTCCAGGTCCATCCCCAGTGCCCATTTCAAGGCATGAGACCCAAGAACAGGGAGCAGCCAGTGGCTATGGAAGAAACCAGTCCCAAAGATCACCACCTGCTCCAACTACCATCCCATCTGTGATACAAGCTCACACGCTTCTCAGTAATCACTGGTCCCAGACTACAGGTACACAATCGAGGACTTTAAGCTCAGCCTGCTGGAAACTGGCAGAGCAATCCTTCATACCAGATGTTGGGCCCTACAGCTAACCCCAAGCAGAATGGAGGAGCTGAACACCAGGCCGTGGTCCTCTCACCGTGGTGCCATCCACAGCCACATATACTTTGCTGCGACTGGAGTATACCTCCACATCCAGGACCCGCCGGGGGCTGCTGCCGTGGCGCCGGGGGGACTCCAGGCGGCCCAGACTCTCATCTATGGGGTGGGATGGACACAGAACTGGTCAGTCTCCCCAGCAGCCAAACCCTGTGGGAGCTGCCTGCTCCTGGAGCCCTGAGGCCCTTCCACCCTGCCATCAGCACCACTGCCCCCACTCTCAGTCTGGCCCCACCATAGTCTTGCTCTGGCTCTAGGTCTTCATTGGCTTCGCTGATAGCTCGCCGAGTGTCCAGGATCAGTTTGATGTTGACAATGACAGTCACCAGGAGGAAGAGCACGGCCCCTGTCTGGGGGACGAGGCAGGTGTGAGTAGGTGGAGCCATCCACAGCATCCCAGACCTCCTTCCTGTTCCACTGAAGGCACAGGAAGAAGCCAGCACCTGTCTCTGCCTCGGTTGGTCTATCTCTACTTCCCAGACCACAACCTGCTTTCACAGCCGCCTCCAGGAAGCCTCCCCTGAACCGCCCCCTCCATCAGGGCCCTCCCTACCCAGAGGTCCTGGGGTTTTCCATCTGAGGTCTTGATTTCCTTGGTCCCCTCCACAGTTAGCACCTAGAGGGGAGTCCCCAGGCCAGAGAACCAAGCTGGGAAACCTAAGATGTGGGTCCTAGCCCTAAGAGTGTGTGTCTTTGGGGGGAGGGGCCACACCTTTCCAGTCACACCTCATGGTTCTACTGTTGGATACCTAAAAGAGTGTTCTTGGGTTCCGATTCCAGAACTCTGGGTCCAAATCACTACCTGGTAGAGACACAACATACAGAGGTGTCCCTGCCTCTCCTTTGTAGCTGGATGGTGGCCAAGGCAGGTCCTGACAGCCAGGGCTCGGGTTGGGGAGGAAAGCCGGGTGGGAGCTCCAGCCATACCTGACAGAACCTGCGCAGGGCCCGCTGGTTTGTCAGTTTATACTTCCAGGTAAGGTACCAGCTCCGTTTCTTCCGAGCCCCAAAGGGCTTGACCAGTGGGCTGGGCTTCCAGTCGTCCATGACGGAGTAGGGGGTCACTACGGCCCTGGCCAGCCCATGACTTCAGCAATCTGAAGGAACCAGAAGTGTAATGTGACACTCTCTGAGGGGGGATACCCCCCTTTACCCCCAAGCAGGGCAAGTTGCATCCATGCTGTGTGACCTGTGGAAAGTGGCTCAACTTCTCTGAGCCTGGCAGGGAAACCCTCAGAGAGCTTGGAGCACCTGGCAATTCTCTGGGGCTGAGGAAACTATGAGAGCAGCTCAGGCCGCTAGGGAGCCGTGGCCTGATCATCAAGCTCGCACGGTTCTAGAGCCCCTACAGGGACCAAGTCCCATGCCTTTGCTATCCAGGAGTAGGCCTAGCACAGCGACCTCCCCCGCCCATTGCAAGGGGTCCATCCTCACTCTAGCCCATCTGGCTCCGCTGCTCCACCGAGACTCGGACTCGGGGCCACCCGAGGGCGCAAGGGCCTTGCCTCGGCTTCGCCACCCGTCCCAGACACCCCCACGCCCCGGCCCGGAGGCACTCACAGCTCAGGGGCCCGAGGCCCCACTCGGGCCCCTCTCGGGCCCGCACCGCTCGCCCCGGCGCGCCGCGGCCTCCGCCTCCTCCATGCCGCTCGCGGCCCCGCCCCGGCCCGCCCCCCCGCTTCCGCCGCCGCCGCCGCCGCGGGGTGAGAGGGCGGAGGGCGGCGCTTAGGGCAGCGGCGGGCCGGGCGGTCAGCGGGCGGCCCGGGGACCGGACCCTGCGGCGCGTTGCTGCCGGGTCGGAGGGTCGGGGTGCTGAGGCCGGAGCAGCCGGCTCTCCAGCTCCGCCCATGGCGGATCTGACTCCAGCCGGGGCCCGAGAGCACCTTGGAGCGGTGGGCGGCAGGCCGGGGTCAGGGACTCCCGGGCGCCTGTCTCCACCTCATCACCCTCCTGGGCCAGGCTGTCATCCCAGGCATGGAACACCGGCACACCGCCTTCAGAGTGCGAAGGGACGTTAAAACGAGGTTCCGCCTCTGTCCTGGGCATTTTACTGTTGCTATTGATCTCATTTAATTCCACTGTTCATAAGGTAGGCAGTCCAATATCAATACCGTGAAGAGAAGGAGGTCGGACGTTCCAAAAGTAGGCCGGCTGGCGGCCACTTCATACTTTGCTGAATTGTTGGGTTAGAACGGAACGCTGGCAATATGGAGGAGGGCAGGGTTTGGGTACCTGGCTAACCAATCCCTAGGTGATGAAAATGTTTGTTAGGAGTGACTGTTCATGTTACAAGGGAAGCTTCACTGTTTACTGAAGACCAAGGTTGAAGCGGGACAGAAGAAGCCAGAAAACCAAGGACGTTATTGCCATCCCTGCCCCGCTCGACCCACCACACGTGGTCCTGTCTTTAGAATTTACGTAATGAGCCTGGCACAATGGTCAGTGGCTAAATCCTCACCTTGTACACACCAGGATCCCATATGGGCACCTGTTTGTGTCCCAGCTGCTCCGCCTCCCATCCAGCTCCCTGCTTGTAGCCTGGTAAAGCAGTCGAGGATGGCCCAAAGCTTTGGTATCTTGCACCCATGTGGGAGACCCGGATGAAGCTCCAGGCTCCAGGCACTGCATCCGCTTAGCTCCTGCCATTGCTGGCACTTGGGGACAGAAGATCTTTCTTTATCTCTGCTTCTCTCTGTAAATCTATCTTTCCAATAAAAATATTAAAAAAAAAAAAAAGGAATTGAGATACTAGGTGGTTTTCTTCTAGTAGGTATTGAAATGACAAGAAAAAAATCAACACTCATATTTTTTGATAAAAAAAAAAAAGACATTTTATCTGGAAGGTAGAGATACAGCTTAAGTGAGAGGTCTTCTATTCTCTGCTTCACTCCCCAAAAGCCCTTGGGCTGGACCAGGCGGGAGACAGGAGTCTCCCACCGGTCTTCCACGTGGGTGCAGGGTCCCAAGAACTCCATATATCTTCTACAACAGGAAGCTGGATTGGAAACAGAGTAGGTAAGGGCCTGGCGCAATAGCCTAGCTGCTAACGTCCTCACTTTGCATGCACCAGGATCCCATATGGACGCCAGTTCTAATCCTGGTGGTCCTATTTCTCATCCAACTCCCTGTTTGTGGCCTGGGAAAGCAGTCCAAGGATGGCCCAAAGCCTTAGGACCCTAAACCCATGTGGAAGATCCGGAAAAAGCTTCTGGCTTCGGATCAGCTCAGCTCCGGCCATTGTGGTCACTTAGAAAGTGAATCATTGGATGGAAGATCTTCCTCTCTGTGTCTTCTCTCTGTATATCTGACTTTGCAATAAAAATAAATAAATCTTAAAAAAAGAAAGAAAGAAATAGAGTAGATGGGGCCTGATGTGATAATATAGCGGTTCGAGTCCTCACCTTGAATGCACCAGGATCTCATATGGGCGCCAGTTCTAATCCTGGCAGTCCTGCTTCCCATCCAGCTCCCTGCTGTGGCCTGGGAAAGCAGTGGAGGACGGCCCAAAGCCTTGAGACCCTGCACCCATGAACCATCGGACGGAAGAGCTTCCTCTCTGTCTCTCCTCCTCTCTGTGTATCTGACTTTGCAATAAAAATTAAAAAATCTGAAAAAAGAAAAAGGAATAGAATAGGTAGTAGTTTAACTAGTTCCACCGCAGCCAAGCCCTCACATTGTTTTTTTTTTTTTTAAGATTTATTTTTATTGGAAAGTCAAATTTACAGAGACAAGGAAAGACAGAGGGAAAGATCTATCTGCTGTTCACTCTCCAAGTGACCACAATGGCAGGAACTGAGCCAATCTGAAGCTAGGAGCCAGGAGCTTCTTCCAGGTCTCCCATACACGTGCAGGGTCCCAAAGCTTTGGGCCATCCTCAGCGGCTTTCCCAAGCCAAAAACAGGGAGTCTGAAGGGACGCAGGGAGCCTGGAGGGAAGTGGAGCAGTCAGGATGTGAACCAGCATCCACAGGGGATCCTGGTACATGCCAGTCGAGGATTCCAGTCAACAGGGCACTGCACTGGACCCCACAATTGCCTCTGTGAAAGATGTCTCTCAGAGGGCCTTGCCAGCACTCTTCTCTTTTCAGCTTTCCTCTCTGTGGAAGAACTCAGCTACTTTCAGGACCTTGTTTTCCATGGCTATTCTAGAACTCACCTCAACACTTCTGGTGTGGTTTTTTTTTTTGTTTTGTTTTGTTTTTTTCATGATCTTTACATAGTCGGTTAGGGCACAAAGGACCAAGGGCTACAGGAAAGTGGCTAGGATCACTGTTTCCACATTCTCTTTTTCCTTCCTCTATCTGATGGAAGGAGGGGAGATAAAGGGAGAAGCTACACCCAGCCTCCCCCCCATCCCACGTTCCCAGATGTGGGGCATGCTGCAAGGTCCTGCTCAAGTGGTTTCGATAGTTCAACAGTTCTGAATTGTTACCAATCTCACCATTCCAAGCATGATGAAATCTCTTCAGAATCCACTGGCTGACATAGTCCACTTTAGCGTCTCCACTTGCCCAAATTTTCACTGAATTTTCACTGACCTCCTCCTTGAGCTCCATGTCAGCCTGCTGAAGACCCTGCAGGCTCTCTAGTGTGACACCTCAGCTGCTGGAGTCATCCCTTACTCCCTGGTTCTCTTCCTCAATGAATTGCATCAGACCAAGAAGCTGGGAGTCATCCTTGGCATATTTTTTTTAAATTTATTTATTTTTATTGAAAGTCAGATATACAGAGTGAAGGAGAAACAGAGAGGAAGATTTTCTGTCTGATGGTTCACTCCCCAAGTGACCACAATGGCCGGTACTGCACTGATCTGAAGCCAGGAGCCAGGAACTTCTTCCAGATGTCCCATGCAGGTGCAGGATTATCCTTGGCACCTTTTTCTCACCAGTGACTCACCAGTTCAAGAATGATTGCTCTCAGAGGCCTATCATAGGATACAGAGGGTTAGACTGCTGCCTGCAATGACACTAGCATCCCATGTGGGTGGCCATTAGAGTTCCCACTGCTCTACTTCTGACCTAGCTCTGTGCAAATGCTCCTGGGAAAGCAGCAGATGGCCAAAGTGCTTGGACCTCTGCCAACCACATGGGAGACCCAGATAGAGTTCCAGGCTCCTGACTGGAACTGCCTGACCCTTCCCCAGCTATTACATTCATTTGCAGAGTGAACCAGCAACAGATGAAAGATCCCTCTTGATCTTTTAAGAGATTTATTTATTTTTATGAGAAAGCCAGATCAGATTTTATGGAGAGGAGAGACAGAAAGATCCTTAATCTGCTGGTTCACTCCACAAATAGCCACGATGCCTGGAGCTGAGCCAATCCAAAACCAGAAGCCAGGAACTTCTTCCAGGTCTCCCACACGGGTGCAGGGTCCCAAGGCTTTGGGCCATCCTCAGCTGCTTTCCCAGGCCATAGCGCAGGGAACTGGATGGGAAACAGGGCTGCCAGGATTAGAACTGGTGACCATATGAGATCCCAGCATGTTCAAGGTGAGGACTTTAGCTGCTAGACCACCGTGCCAGGCCCTATCTCTTGTTTTCTAACTAGTCCCCATGACTCTACATTTCTATCCTTCTACTCCTTTGCCCCTGCTACAGGGTAATGTTTCAAAAAGGGAAATGTTTGGCCAATCTCCGATATAAAATCTTTCCATTGGGTCTAATATTCTGATGCAGTGTACGTCCCATATTGGTGAGTGGATGGAAGGTCTCTGTCTCTCCCTCTTTGTATTGCTCTTTCAAATAAATAAATGCTTTAAAAAATGTTTCCATGGTCCATGAGATACTCAGAGGTATCCAGCATTGTGGTATAATAGGTTAAGTCACTGCCAGAGATGCAGGCATCCCATAGTGATATGGACTTGAGTCCTGGCTGCTCTACTTTCGATCCAGCTTCTGGCTGATGCCCTGGGAAAGCAGCAGATGGTCCAAGTGCTTATGTCCCTGTCACCCACATGGGAAACCCAGAAGCTTCTAATTCCGGCTTGAGCTAAGCCCAGCTCTTTTGCCTATTGCAGTTATTTGGGGAATGAACCAGCAAATGGAAGATTTCTCTTGCTGCAAACACTGCCTTTCAAATAAATAAATAAATAAATAAATACATCTTGGAAAAAGAGAAATAGAAAAAGTTACTTAAAATTATGACACCATTATATGAACTAAAAATAATGACAGACGCCTATGGGGTTGGTGGGGGAAGGATGTACCTAGAGTGTGCGTTAAATCCACATATTCCAGGCCCGGCATGACAGCATAGTGGTTAAAGTCCTCACCCTGAATGCAACAGGATCCCATATGGCCACTGGTTCTAATCCCGGCAGCCCTGCTTCCCAGCCAGCTCCCTGCTTATGGCCTGGGAAAGCAGTTGAGGATGGTCCAAGGCTTTTGGTTACCCTGCACCTGCATGGGAGATCCGGAGGAAGCTCCTGTCTCCTGATTTTGGATTGGCTCAGCTCCAGCTGTTGCGGTCACTTGGGGAGTAAACCATTACATGGAAGATCTTCGACTCTGTCTCTCCTCCTTTCTGTATATCTGCCTATCCAATAAAAAACATAATACTGCTCCAAATCTATATTCTTTTTTTTTTAAAGATTTATTTTTTTTATTATTTTTATTGGAAAGGCGGATATACAGAGAGGAGAGACAGAGAGGAAGATCTTCCGTCCGATGATTCACTCCCCAAGTGAGCCGCAACGGGTCGATACTATGCCGATCCGAAGCCAGGAGCCTCTTCCGGGTCTCCCACGCGGGTGCAGGTTCCCAAAGCTTTGGGCCGTCCTCGACTGCTTTCCCAGGCCACAGGCAGGGAGCTGGAAGGGAAGCGGGGCTGCCGGGATTAGAACCGGCGCCCATATGGGATCCCGGGCGTGCTAGGCGAGGACTTAACCACTTGCGCCACCGCGCCGGGCCCTCTTTTTTTTATTTAAAGATTTATTTTTGTTATTTTTTATTGGAAAGGCAGATATACAGAGAGGAGAGACAGAGGAAGATCTTCCGTCCAATGATTCACTCCCTAAGTGAGCGCAACGGCCGATGCTATGCTGGTCTGAAGCCAGGAGCCTCTTCCAGGTCTCCCACACGGGTGCAGGGTCCCAAAGCTTTGGGCTGTCCTCGACTGCCTTCCCGAGCCACAGACAGGGAGCTGGAAGGGAAGCAGGGCTGCTGGGATAGAACCGGCGCCCATTTGGGGTCCCGGGCGTGCAAGGTGAGGACCTTAACCACTTGCGCCACCGCGCCAGGCCCTAAAAAAATATCTTTTTAAAAATCCACATATTCCTATGTATCTGATTATCAAGTCCATAGGTAAAGATTAAGATTAGCAAGTAGCAGGCCCTGTGCAAGGTAGCCTAACAGTTAAATCTTAGCCTTGCACCAGCCAGGATTCCATATGGGCGCCTGTTCCTGTCCTAGCTGCTCTACCTCTCATCTAGCTCCCTGCTTGTGATCTGAAAAAGCAATTGAGGATGTTCCAAAGCCTTGGCACCATGCACCTATGGGGGAGACCAGAGGAAGTTCCTGGCTTTGGATTGGCTCAGCTCTGGCCATTGTGGCCACTTGGGGAGTGAACCAAAGCAGATGGAAGATCTTTCTCTCTGTCTCTCCTTATCTCTGTATATCTGACTTTGCAATAAAAAATAAATAAATCTTTAAAAAAATCAGGAAGTAGTGCTGCTATTAATCTGTTTGTTGTTCAAGATGTGCCCACATATACACAAAAAACACTGCAGACTAGAGATGTGGAAGGAAAGGGCAAGGGTTCCTGTTCACAGCAATCATGGGCTGGAACCGCTTGGATTAAAAGCCAAAACCAAACCGGGCCTTTGCATGACCCCTTCTTAACTGTGGAATGAAGCCAAAACGCCTCAGCAACATTTGCCGACAGCCTTGTGTTTCCAAGTGTGAGCCATTGTCAAGCCCTCCAAATTTACAGGATCAGGAGCTGTACTGTTGAGATTTGGCAGGTGCATCACAGCCCCAAGAGGCCCCTCCCTGCCCCTTCCAAAGGGGACCTCCATATTGGTTGCTCCTCACTGGCAATCTTCTCCAGGCGTTTGAATTCTAGCCCCAGGGAATGGAAACCTTCCAGACCCTCAGCAGTTCTCAGCTCTCAGTCTGCGTCAGCTCTGTCAACTCCCACATCTCTAAGGCTTCGTTTTTATTCGGCAAACATCTGTTAGGTGCCTGCCTTTGTGCCTAGCTGGAGTCGGTGCCAGGGTGGGGAGGAGGTGCTGAGCTTCCCCAGTCTCCTTATAGGATGGCCCAGCCCCACACCATTCAGGGCCAAGGGCTGTGCGCGCAGCCACACACAGCTCTGCGCGGCTTTTCGGAGAGTTACGGCGCCCTCCTCCCACCCCCGCGCCGGGCCGGGCGGGGACCAACCGGTTCTGCTCCGCGTTAGCTGGGGAGACACCAGGACCCCACCCGACCCCCACCAGCCAGGACCCCGGCGTCCGGTCACCCAGCCGCGCTTAGGCTTGGGCCCGCATGGAGGGGGCGGTGGAGTCCCAGACTCCGGACCTGCAAGACGTGGAGGGCAAGGTGGGCAGGAAGACCCCTGAAGGGCTGCTCCGAGGGCTGCGAGGCGAATGGGAGCTGGGAACCTCGGGTGCCCTGCTGCTCCCGGCGGCACCTGGAGCGAGCCACGGCCTGGGGGGCAAGATCACGGCGCTGAAGATGGAGCTGGTGAGTGTGGGGCGGTGGGGCGGGGGGAGGGATTGAGGCTCCGGGCAGGGGGCCCGAAACGGACCGACTCACGCCCCTCCGGAGTTTGGCCGGAGAAGAGGGAGTTAGAGTCCTCACCTAACTCCTCAGAGTCCCTCGCGGGCCCCTGCGTAGAGCCTGGTGTGGAGGTGGAGTGGCGTCCGTTTAATTGCCACCCTCCAGGGTGAGTGAGCTATTGTGGGTTCTGAGGATTCGGGCTGGGAGACACGGGCTCTGGGAAGATTCTCCTGCCGAAAAATGGTGGAGGGGAGTACTGGGGGCGGGGGGCGGGTAGGGGTAACCTGGGAAGTCACCAGAACCTATCCCGACACAAATCACCGTTCTCCCCACAGGGGTCCACTTATTTTCCCCAGCCCAGCTGCAAGGTGGCCAAGTCTTTTTGCTCCTGCAGACTGAGTGGGGATTGGGAGTGGGGGAGTGCAGGAGTGAGGGTGGGGTCATGATTCCTGTGAGGAAGGGTGTTCATGCCAGGATTTAACACAAAGGAGACTGGGGTAAAGGGGAGCCCTGGACTGCCTCTCCTTAACCCTCCGTCTCAAAGTTAGGGTATTTGAAAGTTCCAAAACTTAGCAGAGACAGAATAGCAGCGGTATCCAGTTGGGTCCCCTTACCTGGGACTTAGCCTGCTGCCTGCTAACCTCCCCGGTGTACAGCATGTTTGAATCTCTGGGGGCATTCTTGGGAAGTCCCCTCCCCCTGCCCTGGTGCTGCTGGTCTAGAATCAGAGCCAAAAGGGTAGGTGGGCCCCTCCTTCAGGTTCCCCAGGGCCCTGGGCGGCTCCCCAGAGGAGTGATTTACACCTGCCATCGCTTTGCAGCCAGGTCTGGAGAGCTGAAGAGCTGGTGACTGTTCCTTGGCCCTGGACCAGGAGCTGACAGTGAGATCAGCACAGAAGTCTTCCAGAGCCCCACTGTGTGCCCAGCTGTGAGGGGGAAGCAGATGGAGGAGGTGGGAGAGGTTCCCAGCCCCCAGAGGAGAGAGCTTGATGGGTGGAGCTTTTCGGGAAGGCTCCCCTGGGGCAATACTTGGATGCCAATTGTGCACCTGGCCTTGAAGGTTGGAGGCGAGTGCCAGACCCTGAGCTGCACCCAACTGGGGAGCTTAACAGGGAGGCAGTAGTGCCTCATGGCAAAACAAAAAACAGAAACCCAAAAGCTTAAAGCTTAGAAAGAGACAACCTGGAGTGGCCTGTTTTGAAAAATTAACTGTGTATATGCAGGCATCATGCGCAGCACTGGACTTTGTGTTCTCTTAAATCCTCTAACTCTTCCCCACAGCCCTGGTCGGGAAGCAATGCTGTAAAGAAACTGGCACAGAGAGGTAAACGGCCCAAGGTCATGCAAAAAGTGAAGACCCCCCAAGTTTTTCTAATTTTTTTTTAAGCAAAAATACCTCAGTTAGTAGGAAAATAGACAAGGCTCATATGTATTCATTTGAATGGGAAAATAGCCATGTTACCCCCTATATATTCAATATTAATCACAGATGATTAGAACTATAGCAGTATAACATGATTAACTACTGTGAGCCTAAGCCTTCTGACCAGCACATGTATCTTTGCACCTGGGACCTGTTCAGCACTAAACACTGTAAAATACATTTTGTGTCACTGGAATGAGAAAAGTGGTGATCGTTTCTCCCACCTCCCAGATGAGATAGGCTTGCAGGTGCTGGTTCAGGGGCTAGCCTGAACTCACTTGGAGTCCGGAGGAGCCACACCCAGTCCTTTTGGCTCTCTTTCCTGCCTTAGTGGAGACTACCTGTTTATCAGCTCCAGGGACCCAGGTCACTTCTGGTTTTCTCTGTATTCTCCACCCAGCTGGCCTGGGGCAGGAGGCTGCCTTCCTGCAGAGGGTATGGATAGGGAGATTTCAAGGAGACCGTCCCTGGGCCCCCATTCCTTCTGCCGTCGTTCAGCCTGGGATGTCCTCAGTGCCTTGTTCAACTCGGCCCCGCCCCCTCGGAGGTTCCCAGGAAGGATACCGAGTGGGGCAGTGGTTTTCTTGAGACTGCTGGAAGCCAGACAGGTGCCAGCGCCCTAAGAATTGCTCTGTAGATGTCCCCCTCTGTGCAGCTCTCCGTGCAGGGAGGACAATCCTGCCCTAAGGCCAAGGTCAGTCCTGCCTCTAAGGCGGCTCTTCTATGCAGTGTTGGAGTGAATGAGTCAGACTCTGGGACACATGGGAATGGGAGACAACGATGGCAGCCTCCTCTCCTTGGCTTCAGTTCTCCCACCCCTAGAACTGTTGCTAGGACAACATGCCCCCATAGAGCCAAGTATGAGAGACAGCTTCCTGCAGGGAGCAGGAAAGTCTGGGTTCAAGTCTGGACTGTGCTTTCAATCCTGGTGTGAGCCTGAGCAAGCCCCAACCCTCCCTGCATTTCACTTTGCCCTGAGGAACAGGTGACCCCTAAGAGCCCTCCTGGTGGGAGGAGACTAGCACATACCTCTCCCAGCCAGGGCTGGTTCTTCTCCAGGATTGGGCCATGATGGAGTCCCACGGCTGGATACCAATGTGGGCAGAGAGAGCCTGTAGGCATTGTCAAGGGCAACAGTCTGGAGACTGAATCTCCATGGGAAGAGAAAAGGTCTGGGAGCTTCCAGGGCGGCGGTGACTCTATTGAGCCATCTTACCGCTACTGTGACTCCAAAGCGGGAGTGTGAAGTTGAGTGCTGCTTTTTCTGGCCAGAAAAACCACTTCCTTCCGTTCCGAGGAGCATTGCAAGTCCATGCAGGGAATGCCACACTGCCACGGGTTACGGAATCTGCTTCTCAGGCTCCCTCCTGTGACTCAGCCTCCCCACCCCCCAACACACATCCTGGGCCACCAGAGAGCCAAGAATAGCACAGGCCAAGAGACTCAGAGGTGAGCGTGGTGGGTAGGGTCTGCACACAGGACTCCAGGGCTAGTGCAGGATGGTAAGGACTGATGGGAGACCCTAGAGGGAGTATGCATGGAAAGGCCATTTCCAGTCGGCGGGGATCAGGTGCTTCCCCCTCTGGCTGGTGTGTTTCCCTCTACCCTTTGTGTGTGGCTTCAAGTCCCATCTAACCCTCCAGGCTCTGCTCAGGTGTCTTAGCCAAGGAAGCCTTTGCTCACCTCCCCTGACTGTGCTCTAGACCAGGCTCTGCACAGTAGCTCTGTTCTCCCAACCTTTGCCTCGCTGAATTTTAAGGACTCACTTCATTGCCTTACCTTTGTTTTAATTTTTCTTAAAAATTTTTTTTTATTTATTTGTTATTTGAAAAGCAGAGTTAGAGAATGAGAGAGAGAGGGTCTTCCATCTGCTGGTTCACTTCCCAGGTGGCCCCAAGAGCTGGGGCTGGACCAAGCCAAAGCCAGGCACTTGGATCTCAGTGGAGGTGTCTCCCACTTGGGTGGCAGGGCCCATGTGTTCATTCTACCACCTTCAACAGGAATTCTTACCAACTGCTCAGTTTTCAAGGCCTGACCCCAATGGCATCTCCTCTAGGAAGTCTTTCCCTCCCTTCCGTTGGATGGAATTAATCTACTCAGTCATGATTAAAATATGGCAAATATTTAATAATCAGTGTTTTTACAGGTGTGGCACTTTGTTTGCACCACTACTTATCTTCAGAAGGCCCGTAGTCTAGTGAATAAGATCAGATCGTGGAGGCCTATAGTGGTTAAGGTGCCATTTGGGCTGCCTGCATCCCACATTGGAGTGCTGGAGTTTGGATCCCAGCTCCATTTGGGATCCCAGCTTCTTGCTAATGTGTACCCTGGGAGGCAGCAGGTGATGGCTCAAGTTGATCTCTGTGACCCACATGGGACACCTAGACTGGGTTCTAGGCTCCCAGCTTTAGCCTAGCCCAGCCTGGCCATTGAAGGTGTTTGGAAAATAAACTAGTAGATGGGAGCTCTCTCTGTTTGCTTTTTTTTTTTTTTTTAAAGATTTATTTTTATTATTTTTTTATTGGAAAGGCGGATATACAGAGAGGAGAGACAGAGAGGAAGATCTTCCGTCCGATGATTCACTCCCCAAGTGAGCGCAACGGGCCGATACTATGCCGATCCGAAGCCAGGAGCCTCTTCTGGGTCTCCCACGCGGGTGCAGGGTCCCAAAGCTTTGGGCCGTCCTCGACTGCTTTCCCAGGCCACAGGCAGGGAGCTGGAAGGGAAGCGGGGCTGCCGGGATTAGAACCGGCGCCCATATGGGATCCCGGGCGTGCAAGGCGAGGACCTTTAACCACTTGTGCCACCGCGCCGGGCCCTCTGTTTGCTTTTTACTTGAAAAATAAAGTTAGGAGACCAACATTGTGGCAGAGTGGGTGAAGCCACTGCTTAAGACACTGGTATCCCATATGGGTGCCAATTTGAGTCCTGGCTCCTCTGCTTCCAATCCAGCATCCGAAACTGAGCCTGGGAAAGCAGCAAATGATGACTTAACCACAAATGATGGCTTAGCCAAATGCCTGTCCTCAATATTTTATTCACTAGACTGTGAGTCTTCTGAAAATAAGAAACAGTACTAACACAGTGCCACATCTATAAGAAACACTGAGTAGGGCTCAGCGCGATAGTGTAGTGGTTAAGGTCCTTGCCTTGAATGCGCTGGAATCCCAGGTAGGCGTGGTTTTAATCCTGGTGGCCCCACTTCCCATCCAGCTCCCTGCTTGTGGTCTGGGAAAGCAGCTGAGGATGGTCCAAGGTTTTGGGACCCTGCACCCGTGTGGGAGATCTGGAGGAGGCTCTTGGCTCCTGGCTTTGGATCGGCTCAGTGCCGGTCATTGCGGCCATTTGGGGAGTAAATCATCAGATGGAGGATCTTCTTCTCTGTCTCTCCTCCTCTCTGTGTATCTGCCTTTCCAATAAAAATAAATAAATCTTTAAAAAAAAAAAAGAAACACTGAGTAAATATTTGTTCCATGACTGAGCAGATTAATTCTGTCCTCAGGAAGGGAGGGGTAGACTTCCAAGGACAGGGAGAATTCCCA